TCTCTTCATAGTATGACTTAAACACTATCAACACTATCGCAGATCAAGCAAAGGTACTGAAGTCAGGATGTTAGAAAAACTTAAAAATCCTAAAAATATTATTCAAACACACAGATTATAGATTAGTTCAGTCTCAGTTAGTAAAATCAGAAAGAGTGTAATTTTGCTCTGTAGGCATGTATTAATTTTAACCATAAGCTTTTACAACTCTCCCTTGCTTTCTTCTTGATCACTAAACTCCATCAGAGCTGCTCCTTCAGCCCTGACAGTCTCCTTTAGCTTCTCTCTGCCTCTCTTCCTTTGATTTAGTAATACGTTGATTTTATTAAACTCAGATTTACTCAAAACAACTCAAAGAAGTAATGACCAATCAATTTTGTTTGTTTTAACTTAAAAATTGTCTCATCTGACTGGCCTTCGACGGAGCTGCTGCATCTTAATTTCCATCTGCAGATTGAGGAATTGAGGGATATAGAACTGTGTTATGATGACCTTTTCTTACAAAGCTGAAGTAGCTTCTTGTATGAATTTTCCTGTTCCACCTTAAATGCTGCAGCAGTTACATTCTTGCACCTTGCAACAGGACAATTCGAGCAAGAATCGGGCGAATAGGAAGCCAGCTTCAGCCTCTTTCATTTCACTGATGTTAACTTAATGTAAACAACAATACTGGTATCACTGTTTCCAAATACAACCCTAATTCCAAAAAAGTTGGGACGCTGTGTAACATGTAAATAAATGTAAATAAAAACAGAATGCAACAATTTGCGAATCTCATAGACCCACATTTTATTCACAATAGAACATAGAACACATATCAGTTGTTGAAAGTGAGACATTTTACCATTTCATGAAAAATATTAACTCTTTTAGAACAAAACGCATCTCAAAACAGTTGGAACAGAGGCTGAAAAATTAAGTAGTACTAATAAAAAACAGCTGGAGGAGCAATTTGCAACTAGCTCACATGACTGGGTATAAAAACAACATTTTAGAGAAACGGAGTCTCTCAGAAGCAAAGATGTACAGAGTTTCACCAATCTGAGAAAAACTCAGAAAAATGTTCAACGTAAAATTGCAAAGACTTGGGATATCCCACTGTCTACAGTACAAAATATCATCAAAAGTTTCAGAGAATCTGGAGAAATCCCTGTACGCAAGGGACAAGGTCCATGGTCAATATAAGATGCTCGTGGTCTTTGGGTCCTTAGGTGGCACTGCATTAAACACAGGCATGATTCTGTACTAGAAATCACTGCATAGGCACTTTCAATTTCGGACACTAAGTCGTCTGGGTTTGCTCATTAATGTGCAACAGCAGTTTCTGTTGCATAAACTGAATGCACACATCAGAGGAGCTGACTTATATCTGTGACAGGTCTGAAGAGAAGTGTGTGGAGATGCTGCCATTAAGCTGGGCTCGCTAATCCTCTTAAGAGAAGTTGCTTCTGAATCTTAATACCGACCAATGCAGTGCATTACGGGTATCCCATATCCGCTAGGGTACAGGGGTTGTACACTACTTATTGAGGTGCATTTTGGGATTGTTTGAGTGCACTGGATTTTCTGCACCGTGTTTTCACCTCTACAAAATAGTGGAACCCGAAAATAGTACACTATATAGTAAATAGGGCACAGTTTTGGACACAGCTCCTGTATTTAGCTTGGCTACCGATTGCTTTGCTGTGCATAAACAGAGACCCTCCCCCAGGTCTAATATGAATGGTTTACAACATATGACATCTGATATGATTGGCTGAACATTACCTTAGTCAATCTCTGGTAGTACAGCAGAGGCAGCGCTGCATTAAAGCAGCAGCAGCACGTCCACCAGGTTGTGCCCTGCTATTACAGGATATTGTGAATGAGAACAAACTATAGATGAACAAGGGGGATAAACTACATTTAGAGAGGGCTAAAGCCCTATGCCAATGCACAATGTAATATAGCAAAGAACTTGGGGATTTCATTATCTATGGTACATAATATCATTAAAATATTTAAAGAACCCCAAGAAATCTCTGTGTGTAAAGGAACACGGTGGAATACCAATATTGGCTGGCACTGCATTAAAACAGGCAGGTTTCTGCAGTAGAGACCACTCCATGGTCTCAGGAACACTGTTGTCTGTGAACACAGTTCATTGCTGCATCCACAAATGCAATTTAAAGCTCTACCATGCAAAGAAGAAAACAAATATAAACAGGATCAAGATCCAGTATGCCACATCCTCCGGGCTAAAGAGGAGAGGAACTGTCCAGCTTGTTATCAGTGCACAGTTCAAAAGCCAGCATCTGTGGGGGTGCGTTAGTGTACATGGCATGGGTGACTTGCCCATATTCTAAAATTCTAAAAATCCTTACAACATTTTCTGGGCCTAAATAATAACTATAGATACATCCTTTTGCTTCTGGGCCTGTAGGCCAAATAACACATTTATTATTGAGTGTTTTACTCAAAAAAGTGCTACAATCACACTTTGTTTCCTCTCTGAGAAAACACCTGAGAAATCTCCTGACATCCACCCCTGCACTACAACAACTAATTTGGAGTTTCTACTTAAAAAGTTTGCTTAAAATAGTATGTAAGCGGGCTGTCTTAAAATTTAAATTTTATTGTACTTCATATAATGAGTTAACACAATATACCACTCATGATAATTGTTCGGTTAACTTTCTATTTCATGTTCTATGAACCCTTCAAAACAACCAGTTTATTTACTTTTATAAGTTAAAAATTATTGATTTTTACAGTGTGGCTATTTTGTGGAGATCTGCCTGAGCATTTAACATAAGGTGGGAGGAGTGACCATTTTCTAGAGTGGGCTTTAAAAAATCAAAACTCTAAAACTGCTTGCAGCACACCTTTTTTTTTATCCAAATCCAAGTTAGCTTGGTGTGGAACCAAAAGGAATATTTTAAAATCATTTTGAAGATGTGTTTAAATAGTTAGGTAATATTTTTTTTAATAATCACTATTAGTCAGCTCTTTACTTACTCTACTCAATGTAATTATGAACCTGAATATTTAAAGCTTAAAAAGCTTGTAATCATGAATGGCAGCTGCTCAGGAGACAAAAAGTGTATTTCTGAGATCTTTGTTATCGGCCAGAGACAATCATGTGGTAAATTAAGTCATCGTTTGTGACAAAAACTGTTTATCCACTAACTCAAAAAAGAAAATAGTGAAAACATTTATTTAATGGCACAAAACAGCACAAACGCAGCACCAGTGAATGATACCATTTTGACACATTTCACCTATTAAAAAATGATTCTTTGTCCTATAACTTGATAAATACAACAGCAAAAACATTTTTTCAACGGCACAAATGCAGCTGAAACGCAAATTAAACTCTAAATTACTAACTTACCAACAAGCACTACACCAGCTGATTCTAATCAGCACAGGTTGGCGAACTAATTACTGAAATCAGCTGGTTTAGTGCTTTACTGTGTTCAATGATCTTTTCCTATGTAATTCCACTTTGTTGCACATAACTCTTATGGTTTATGGTTTTATAGTTTTTGTGTTTTATTGACTTAATTCTACTGGCAAGTCTAATGTTTAATTTAATGTTAATTGCTGCACTGAAAATATATTTAATAAAAAGAGAATACTTATTTGCCCCACTGTATGTCTCATATATAAATCAAATCATAAAGATCACAATCTGTAATTTAAAACAGAGTTGATTTCTAAATGTTTTAATGAAAGTAAATTATTTTGATAAAGATTTTGGGAGCAACCAGTAATTCAATATCAAGACAAGACAACTTGGTGGAAATAAATTAAACGTTTATTAACCCAACGACCAAAGGCACAAATACATTCAAAGTGCATTAAACTTTATGAACTTCAAGGGTTTGGTCAGATAGCTATGCTATGCCCAGATGTTAAGAGTTCATTGTCACATGACTGATATTTTTTATATTTCTTGCTGAATTCCTCTGTAAAGGGGATTTTGATGTCCTCCAGCATTGCTGAGAATGATGTCTGATTGTCTGGCTGTTGATCCGGTAAAAGAACCTTGATCAGAGTTTCAAATGAAAAACTTGACATCTTTACTTTACAAGGCAGCTTGGCTGAGCAATTTAATTCGTGACATCTGCCACAATCCACTCTGCCATGAGGAGCTTAAGAAGTGTGGCCATGCAAAGTGGCTCTCAGGAGACACCACGCTCCCAGTAAGAAATGGACAGTTATTGTTCTTTTATTGTTAATGTTGCTGTTGTTAGTGTAGCTGTGTTGCTTAGACTAAATTGTGTCTGGGCAGAATGGGCTTTGTAGTGTAACTGTGATTAGATGTGTCTACACTCCATGTTATTTCCTTCATTGTTAGCCCTGCTCATGTTTTAGCGCTGGGCTGGGCTTTTTTCGCAAAAATAAGAGCTTTAGCCTCTGTGTGCTATGTTTTCCATGCATTCTTCAGTGCTGATGCCACATTATTCTTAAACAGGGATCAGCCTCTTAGGCTACAGTTACTTAAATTAAGAAGTTAGACTACTTCAAATGTCACATACACAACTGTGATGTGGGCAAAAACCAGGAAACTAGAAAGTGCATCAAGCATTTAGGTGTCTGTGTGACTTTTGAAATTGCTTGGTTGAAAGGGTGCTGTGTGCAGTGTTTAGAGAAAGTTGAGTACATAATTTGTAATTTGTGATCAATGAAAATGTGTGATGGGCTTTGCAAAATTACAAAAAGGGTTAGATGGCTGTGTGACTTGTTTTGAGAACAATGGGCCTCATTCACCAATGTTGTCCTACGTTTTTTCTTAAAGTTGTTCTTGAGAAATGACCCAAGAAAAAGTTTACATCAGATACAGGATGTGTTCTTAAACCACAGAATTGTTCGCAGCTTTGTGATCTTGAGTGTGTGTAGATTCTGTTCTTACCCAAGAACAAATCCCAAATAAGAAAACATTGGTGAATGTCAGAATCTTTGTGAAAACTGGGCAAGTGGGTTTTAAGAAATTTCTTCTGAAGGACAGTTGGTGAATGAGGGCCAGTGATCTTAGTCTGAAGAAAAGTTCCATATGAATTGAGAAAAAAAACTATATTTGCATCTTTCAGTACATCTGTCTGGAGGGATCCACACATTTCTCCATTCAGGCCTCCATTCCATTTGTTACCTGTCTGTATATAGAAATTTGAGAAGAGATATTCATTCATCGTGACTGACAGGTGAGATGATCAGTGGAGCTAAGTTATTATCTTTATCAGTACTACCAGGGAAAAAGAATGGATATAGTTTTTCAGTGAAAGTCTGACCAGTGAAAGAGTAGATATGAGATGGGGCCTCCACATCATAAAAGGAGACCAGACCCTTCTCATAATCCACAAACACCCCCACCTTCTGGAGCTTCTTTTTCAGGTTTAGGGGGACTGACGGATCAGTATAAGCCTCATATTTATAACCTTTCCTCAGAGCCACAGTCCAGAATCCATTCTCTGGGCTCAGGATAATCTTCTTCTTCCTGTTAATGGATTCTCTGGCCACTCCTAATGTCCACTTTGTCTTCCCCCTGACCTGCACCTCATAGTAAAATCTCCCTGAGGAGAATCCCTCCTTTCCAAGAACACTAAAATACCAATCAAATCTCTTTGGATTATCAGGAAGGTTCTGTTCATTGTGTCCACATCTCACTTCTTTTTTATCCTCAGACAGTTTGAGGTATAGAGAGGCTGTATCAGGATCCAGAGTCATATCCACTGAGAAAAAAAAACACAGCAAGACGGTTTTGAATACAAATATTAACAATAATAATAATTAATGGTAAATAATTAGTGGTTCATATTCGATTAAGCTGTAGAAGATGGCAAACTGTTGTGATCATCTACATGTAAATAGTAAATATAATTTCACAGCGTCAGAAAAGATACAGGAGGATCTGTTTGTGTGTGATTCTGCTAAATCCATTTATTGCCTCATATACCAGACCTTGTTGCATATACAATATATTCTGTGTGAAATTTGCCTGCTTTACTAAACAGTTGTCTCAGAAACACTAAAAGTCATCCATACCTGCATAATGTCTTTTCTTTACAAGCTCTGTAAACACAAGTGATGACACAATGATACACATTAGTTTGTCAAAACACAGTTAAACAGCACATATCACAGTCATTTATATGTTTAATATGAATGTTGATCAAATAATTTTTTGCTTCAATTGTCCAGTCTTTTAATCTGCCCTATTTAACCCCTTAACAGTTTTACGACATACTTCTATAATCTAATAGTAGCTCAACCAGTTTGTATTGAAGTCCCTGTAGCTACTGAATAATAAGCCTTTGTGTGTAATACGCTAGCAATGTTAAGGAATTAAAGATCACGTATATGATTGTGTACACAATCAGTGTACTGAGAAATTACCAGTAGTAGTCCTAAAGCCCTCAAAACCCTTCACAGGTAACAGTATGTACAGAATGCAGCTGCTAGGCACCTCACCTACTGGCCCTATCACCCCTATCCTTCACTGGTTATCTATTATGTACCGTCTTCAGTATAGGGTTTGTCTTATTACATACATACCTCTGGATGGCCTAGCTCCCAGTTACCTGAAGGAGCTCCTCCATTTATATGCCCCATCCCATACCTTACAATCAACTAATTTATGCCTATGAGTTATCAATCAATTACTGTAGTTACCCAAATTTTGAAATTCTCTGCACAAGTCTATTCAGGACGCCTTTTCAGTCCTCATTTAAATCTCTGTTAAAGACATATTTGTTTTCATATGCTACCAATGTTCCTCTTGTCTTTCAATGTAATGTCTACATATATTTGATAGTCATGTCTTATGTTGTTAATTATATACCCCTTGTTTAATGTGTTCATGTTATGTGATTGTAAAGCATCTTTGAACATGGGACAGGCTCTATATAAATATAAGTGACAAAAAATGATGAAATGCTCGCAACTATTGGCATGACATTTGTGAAAATCAGACAAAATTAAAGCATTACCGTTAAGGACATTACACTGAGAATAAATAGAAAATAAGAATAAAGGGTTTTTTTGTGTGTGTATATGTGTGTGTGTGTGTGTCATCATTGCATTATGATAAAGACTATGACACACACCTCTGTTAAAGCACTGTGCTGTAGCTCAGACGTTGACTACTCAATGTTTCCTCATTATTCTGTTAAGTTTTGGATAAATTACTAATCAGAGTTTTCTTAAAAGAGCAAACAATCTCCTCACCTGTATACTGCTTTCCCTTGTCAATCTCTGAAACAGACACAATTGGTTTAAGTGTTTTTCTGTAATTTTGTCTATATGCATATATATATATATTGCATGATATTGCAAATATCAATTACTGATAGATTTCTCTCACCTGCATTTTCCTTAAACAAAATCAGTTTAAGCATTTTGTCTACATTTTAGATACGCAAACAGATTAAGCTGCGTGACACTATCATATTGCTAGATTAACTGCACAAATCAGTAATAAAATTTGATTTCACAAAAATGGTCAAAATGTGTGCACTTTAATGTGCATTGAGTGACAGAAATTTCACACAACAAAATCATCACAGAAGCATGTTTCCATCTTTTCAAAAAACAAAAGTACCTTCCTGAAGCCTTTTCCTCCCAGACTCTGCAAACATTCAAAATCAAATGATTAATTTCAGTGGCATCATGATGACATCATGTGTTAAAAAGTATTAACCAACTTACAATTGCAAGTAATATGAGTCTGAAACAAGAACTGTGTGACATTTATAATGTATGTGTTTGGTCTGATAATGTACCATTTCTGTACAAGTTCTAAGCAAATAAATGTCTCTTTTTTAAAGTGGAAATAAAGCAAAATTCTGCACAGTAGGTGAGGCTGTTTATGTTCGAGCATTGTAATCTGAATTTGTACATTTGAAAGCCATTGTATAAATGACTCTAAAGAATGTATTGAAAAAAACAGGATTAAAGTGATACTCTGCTAGGAGAACATTTCTGACTGGAAAATAATCATTTCAGTGCAACTCTGTGGATCCAGAAATAGCCATTTCTAAAAATGTTCAGTACAGTTTAAAACAAAGTACTATAATGTATATAGACAGATGCTCATTTGTACCTAAATAATGTGGAATATCAACCTTGCTGGGGATAAAGTTAGCAAAGATGCAACTGTTAGCAGAAAAAAGCAGCTATAGTTTTTCTGTGACTTTTGTACTCCAACAGACATGAATGATCAGTATTGTTTTCATAAATAGTGCGCAATTATCAGGGGTGGCAAAGAAACACATACTGCTCTTTTTCAGTTTCTGAGTCATTCTATGTGCTGACAGGTAAACATGCCCCTTTGGTGGGTTGTTATCTGGGAATATTTACACTGCAAGGCCAAAAGTATGTGGACACCCTTCCTAATTATTAAGTTCAGGTGTTTCAGCCACACCCACTGCTAACAAGTATATGAAATTAAACACACAGCAATGCAATTTCAGTAGGCAAACATTGGCAGTACTGAAGAGCTCAGTGACTTTAAACATGGCACTGTCATGGAATGCCAACTTTGCCACAAGTCATTTCATGAAATTTCTACCCTGCTAGATTTGATCTGGTCAACTGGATGTGCTATTACTGTGAAACTGAAGCATCTAGGAGCAACAACAGCTCAGCCACAAAGTGGTAGAGCCAAGTAAACTCAAAGTGGGGCCACTGAGTGCTGAAGTGCGTGGCAGGTAAAAGATGCCTATCCTGTGTTGCATCACTCAGAACAGAGCTCCAAAGTACCGCAACATCAGCACAAAAACTGTGTGTCGGAATATTTATGAAATTGGTGTCCATGGCTGAGCAGCAGCACACAAGCTACTATGCAAAATGCCAAGCGTCAACTAGGGTGGTGTAAAGCACACTGCCACTGGACTCTGCAGCAGTGGAAACACATTCTCTGGAGTGATGAATCTTATCTGACAGTCTAATGGACGAATAATGGTCTGGGGCTGTTTTTCATGGTTTGGGCTCCACCCCTTATTTACCCTTAGATTAATGGTGTCTTCACATATGTGTAAGTCACCCATGTCACGTGCACTAATGCACCTCCATACCATCATGGATGCTGGTTTTTGAACTGTGCACTGATACAAGCCAGATGGTCCTCTCCTCTTTAGCTTAGAGGACATGGCGTTCCATAATTTCCAGAAACAATTTCAAAATTTGATTTTTGAACCACAGGACACTTTTTTTCAAGATGAAAATCATGGCCATCTAGCATTAATTTTTGGCCCTGTCCCTTGTATACGGAGATTTCTTATAATTCTTTGAAGCTTTTAATGATATTATGTACTGTAGATGATTAAATCCCCAAATTCTTTGCTATTTTACATTAAGAAATGTTACTCTTGAATTGTTGCACTAGTTGCATGTGCAGACATTGCATTTTGCTCTTTTTTGAAACGTGTTGCTGGCATCAAATTATAAATAGGCGTATATATAATTTAAAACAAAATAATTTCAGTTTTAACTTTTGATATGTTGTCAATTAAATATAGGGTTTAAATAATTTGCACATTATTGCATTCTGTTTTTATTTACATTTTGCACTACGTCTCAACTTTTTTGGAAACAAGGTTGTACTTGCATATTGTAATCTGTGTTGTGAGTGATGTATGTGACACAGAGCATATTGTTGCTGTCCATTTTTAACCAATTTTTGTTTTTCTTTATCCTTTGAGTACAATAGCCGCCCTGTATATTATGTTAAAATTTCTTGATGCATGGACCAATGGAAATGCGCCAGAATTTCTTGGAACAAAATCATTTACATTAACTTACATGGTTTTTGCCCTGTTCTCTAAAATTGCCATTTTGGAGAAATAGTACTTGTTTTTCTTTGGACAGCAACGATATTGAACAAAGCTAATCACTACTCTCAGGCTTTTAAAACATACATGTTTCTGTAAAAATGTATATATTTATATACATTATATATGTTATTTCAAAATCTTGATTTAAGCCAAACAAGAAATTTACCTTCCTGAAGTCTTTTTCTCTCAGCCTCTGTAAAGTTCAAGAACAAATAAACATTTCTTTCAATTGAATTAAAATTATGACAACATGATATCACAAAAAAACAAGAATGAATTAGCTTAGAGTTGCAGTATAATATATGGTGTTTTATTGTGATATAGAAGCTCATTACTCTTAGACCTTAAACATACATTCCTTTTTTTTTTCTTTTATATTCTCTGAAAATAAGTCATTCATTCACAGTCTCTCTCTCACACACACACACGGGACTGTATGTCAAAACTGAAAGCAGTAATTTGTAAATTATTTTTGACCTGTATTACATTGAAAACAGTACAACAGTACATTATTTGGTGTTTTACTTCATGAATTTCATTGTTTTCAATTATGATTCTTGCAACATATTTCAAAAAAAGTTGGGACAGTAATGCTTTACCAGTTTGTAATGGTTTTTCTTTTCATTCATTTTCACAACATTTAAAAGACATGTAGGAACTGATGACACAAAATAATGAAGTGTTTTAGGTGAAATTTTGTCCCATTCTTGCTGTAGGCAAGCGTTAATGTGTGCAGCAGTATACGGTCTTTGTCATTACATTTTGGGTTTTAAAATGCGCCACACATTCTCTGTGCAATGTGTGCAGAATGTGGTGTTGCATTTTCTTGTTGAAATATGCATGGGTGTCCCTGGAAAAGATGTTGTCTTGAAGGCAGCATATGTTGCTCCAAAATCTCTATGTATATTTCAGCATAAATGGTGCTGTTATATAAGTGTACCTTTGCCAAAGGCACTGACACAATCCCATACCATGACAGACCCTGTCTTTTTGACTTTTTGCCGGTACCAGTCTGGATGGTCCTTTTCGTCTTTGGTCTGGAGCATACAGCAGTAAAGTAGACACACAGTGAAGTGTAGACACAGTAAAGTTTTAACTGGCATCTGTGTATGTAGCTAGGTATTTCAGTGCTTAATAAAGGTTTGCCAAAGTAATCCTGAGCCAGTGTGGTTATATGATTTGATTAGGCTTGTTCCTTTGAACTTTGTGCATTCCTCCAGATGTACAGAATCTTTAAATTATGCTATGCAGTGTAGAGGGTGACATATCCAAATCCTTTCCTATCTTTCTTTGAAAAACATTGTTTTTCAACATTTCAATGATTTTCTCACGCATTTGTTGGCAAACTGACGATCCTTGGCCCATTTCGCTCCTGATGGACTAGGCCTTTCCTGGATGCTACTTTTGTACCAAATCATGATTACAATCACCTGTTGACATCACCTGTTTCAAATCATATCATTATTTATTTTACCTCGTTAAATTGCTGCATCACAGTTTTTTTGGAATGTGCTGCAAGTCTGAATGGCAGGAATGGATGTATATTTACAAATTAAATGAAGTTGACCAGACAAATCATGAATATCTTGTTGTTCATACCGTGTGCAGTGAAATACAAGTAAAAGCAAATCAGTGCTATTTGCATTTTCAATCATTTTCTGATTTGGTGTAATACCAACACACACACACACACACACACACACACACCCATATATATGTAAGCTTATAGTTCTTCTTGACTTAGACATTCAAAGAAATGTACCTTCCTGAAGCCTTTTCCTCTCAGCCTCTGAAAACAGACAAAATGAATTACATAACAAACTGATTACATAACAAATAACTGGAGAAAACCCACTATTAACTTTTCTTGTGTTATGGTAAGCAATTGATTGTGTTTTCTGATCTCCCCTGAGCTTAAAATGCTTCTGTTTGAGGTAATCCTTTTACTTCCATTTTACATCTAAGTTTCTAAAACCTCTTTAAATTTACACCTGCGATCATTAATGGAAATGATTTAAATATTACCTTTTCGATGAAAAATAACCACAGCTACTATCAATGCTGCAGAAATAACCAGTACTAATATTGAAATGGTGATGACAGCAGACTTCCAAAAATGAAAGACTTCACCTGAAATTCAAAAAGAGTGTAATTATGTATTCAAAACAATTTTGTTATTGAAATACATACATGTATGTATACATATATAAAAGCCCAAAGTACACTCCAGAGGGAGTAACTCTCTGCCACAGAAATCACTTTTCTTGTTGAAATTCCAGCCCTTTCCCCTGTCACAAGGTGACATCAGCTAGTAACACAGTCCCAATTGCCTGCCTACCAGCAAGCTTGGCATGCCCTCTCACAATGCCCTGGGAAGAGTTTGTTCTGTTTTGTGGCCATGTCAAGAATTCCTGGTGTTTACAGCCACTCAGAAGAAAAGGGTCTGTCTGCTAGTAATGTGACGTTCACAAAAGATCTGGTTCTTTTGAATGGCTCTTTTATACGAACAAAGGGAGCTGAATTGTAGTGTTCTTTTTATTGTTGTGCCCAAATTTCACTGCCTCCCTTAAAACCACTCCAGTCTTCACTGAACAGTGAGGACCAGCCAGTCACAAGAAACTAACATGGTCGTGTTAGGCTCTATAAAGACAGAATGAAAGGAAAGAAAGGATTTGGTGGTTGCTGTTTGAACACAACATTCAAAGCTGGCTGAAAGAGAGAGAAAGCAGCAGTGGTCTAGCAAGCTAAAGACTGAATGAGCGGCATTAGCGAGAACAAGGCAGTGAAATAAAACTTTATTTTTTGTTTCATGGTGATTATGTTCTGACACTTCGACACAACCCTGCAGAAGGGATTTTGTGTGAGTGCAGCTGAAGCACACACTACATCTCGTCTGCTGTGGCCTCTCTCTGTGCAGTGGGTCCTAGACTGCTGACTGCAAGACAGGGGCAGAACCACTCTGGTAGTTGACCAATCAAAACAGATTGAGTAAGCTGACCAATCAGAATACAATGGGGTCATAGGGAGGGGGGCTTAAACACAGAGGAGTTCTAATGTGATGTACAGTATGAGAAAAATAATGAGGTTTTGGAACACTGAAGCATGTAAAATCATGTAAAATGTAAAAAAAAGAGCAGAATATGTGCCCTTTAATAACTGAACAACTACAGAAGGAGCAGAAGAAGTGCTCATACAGTAAAACACTGAAAATGTCAGAAATCTAAAAGTGCAAAAGAAATAAAACTGAACTGATGGGATAATGATGCTTTAGTTATAATGAAAAAGTTACTTGCCAGTGTTTTATGTCTCATTAATACTGACCACCTTTCTAATAAATCAGATGATGTACAAATAGAGCACTGTACAAATCACACTAAATCTAAATCTGAACATGCATTTTAATCATAAACACTTACTAGAGATGATGATCTCTGCCTCCCTCATGTGATGCTTTTGTTGAAGTCTGCAGTAGAATCTGTTGGAGTCACTATCATAAACAGTGATGCTGCGTTTCACTCTGAAGCCCTCAGTGTCTCTGTGTGTCTCTGTATCTTCAGCAGTCAGCGTGACCCCTTCTCTGTCCAGCCACAGAACCTCAGGTTCAGGATACCAGTCTCTAGATTCACACACTAGATTCATTCCTCCTGAGCTATCATAGCCCTCCATAGTGATCACTGGCTGAGTTCCCAGAACTGGAGTGAATAAAAAACAGTTCTGTGTCAGATATTGGTGTTAAATTGCATTATTTACAAGCTCTATTTCTATTTTCATGCTCATTTTAACTGAAATCTGTCTTTAGTCTTTATACTATTACAAATTTTACAATTGATTAAAATATAAGCATGATCCTGTATATCATTAATTATTGTGAACTTTTTGTTACTACAGTTATTTTTTTTTTTAATGTCCAAATGGACAGTTGCACTTCATTCTCTCATTGAATTTGTCAGTAATAGGCAGCACTGACATGAGAAGAAGGTGGGGCCCTTGCCTAATTTGTGGGGGGCCCTACACAACATGCATAATGAGCATATAGGGCCGACTGGCTCCGGTTATTGGTTGTTGCCTTTAAATTTCATTTTGTGACAAACGTGTCTGGATGTGCCTCTGCATTATACATCAATCAAGCATAATATTATGACCACCTCCTTGTTTCTACGCTCATTGTCCATTTTATCAGCTCCACTTACTATATAGGTGCACTTTGTAGTTCTACAATTACAGACTGTAGTCCATCTGTTTCTCTGCAAACTTTGTTAGCCCCCTTTTACCCTGTTCTTCAGTGGTCAGGACCCCCATGGACCTTCACAGAGCAGGTACTATTTGGGTGGTGGATCATTCTCAGCACTGCAGTAACACTGACGTGGTGGTGGTGGTGGTGTGTTAGTGTGTGTTGTGCTGGTACGAGTGGATCAGATACAGCAGTGCTGCAGCAGTGATGATATGCATTTCTGTACATTATAACAGATTAAATAGGTTAAAGACCACTGCCCCCTCCCAAAAAAAGGTTAGGCTAATTCAAACACTATATATGGTGCATAATTTTTAACGTGTGTGAAGTCAATGAAAAACTACAATGAGTTTTGCCAAATTACAAAAGGATCACATGACTGTTAATTGTTTTATGACCATTAATCTTAGATGAGACAAGTGTAGAATCAATTGAGAAAAGCTATAAAGTGAATAAACTTTCAAAAGAGCAGATGTCTCTTACCCTCAACAATGACATTAACTGTAATGTCATCATACCAGGATTTGTCCTTAATGAAACATTTGTAAGCTCCCTCATCTGAGACTCGGACTGCTGAGAGTTTGAGTGAAGTGTTGCCTTTTAGAAGCTCCTCTCTGAACAGTGCTGTTCTTCCTCTGAATGACTGATCCTGGTTTTCATTTCTGTCTTCATTATCCTTGTAGAGATGAACTAATGAGTCCACCACATTTACTCTGGACCACTCTACTCTCATATCCACAGCACTGGTGCTGGGTTGGATAGAGCAAGGCAGAACCAGATCTTCACCAGCTACAGCAACAAGTGGAGCAGCTGGACCAACCACCTTAAAGTGATCTGTAGAACAAAACATTTAGAAAGAAAGAAAAAGTAACTAAACTAAGTGACACATCCTTTAATTTCTATTCTAAAATGTATTGGCACCATAGAAAGAAGAATAACAGAAGAAGAACCAACGACCAAATAACATATGCACAAATACAACATGCTGTATATACGATTATACCTGATGTAGATTCCATACAGCTGAAGAGAATCATGCAGCTGAAGAGAGCTATACAGAGGAAGCTCATCCCTGAAGGAATAATAATAATAATAATAATAATAATAATAATAATAATAATAGAGCTCAAGGTCACTTTTCAAAGTACCAACAGTAGCCAGCAAAGCCCAGTGATAACAAGAGGAACACAAAAACAATGAGGGAACATATCCAAACAAAGAAGCACAGTAATGACATGAGGTACTCAAAAGGAAAAAAAAATAAGAAAACAATACAAATTAAAAAATAAGAAAATCAGGCAGAAGAAACTGAGATTACAAATGTACAACAAATACAGTAAGGTCAAAGTAGAAATTAATACTGGCTGAGGAGACATGTTTTCAAGTCCGTTCTGAAGATGGCTAAGCATTTATTAGTGGGCTGGAGTAAAGAGATCCAGAGTTTTGGGAACACAGCACAAAGGGACCTGCCACACCAGGAAGAGAGCTTAGTCTGACAGCTATTAGCCCTGTGATAGATGTCCTGAGTGTAAATTTAGGGCTGTAAGAATGAAGGAACTAAGCTAAAAGTAAAATAGTGCTAGCCCATGCAAAGAAGTTTGTATTACCAGTGTAACCTGTAGATCTATAAGACAGGGGTGATATGCTCTGTATATTAGTTATAATGACAACTAAACCTATTAGCTCTGACTCGAGTGAGGTGTTCTGTAGGTGCCCCTTTTTGCCAGTGTGTTCAATAAAGAACACTTCTTGTAGCAAAATCATGGCTACCCCTGCGTTTCTTCTTCTGCCAACCCTACAGTATAATAAAGATACCACAGCTCAGCTCCACTTGCTGTTCACATAAAGCACAACTGCTGGAACTACACTCAAATTTATCAGTGTAAGACAAAGCTTAGCATGAAACTATGGATATTTCAGAAAGGTCAAACCTTCTGGAACATAAGCATATTTTACAGTTGCTTTCACAATTATTCCCTTTGCAGTCACACTTGCAGGACTCTAATGGAATGAGCCCTGGCCTGCAGCCCCTAAAGTCCATGGGATTAAAATTCATCTGCTTACACAGACAGTGCAGACTCACTCACAAACCAGCAGCTGCATGCAGGTCAGTACAAAAGAAGTTCATTTTGTGCTGAAAGTTTCAATAAAACAATAAATTCCACAAGAAAAATGTCAAATATCAATATGTCCAATATATGTTGCAAAACTTTCACAAACCCAAGGACGCTTTACATAATATCAAAAAAAATCTAGAACACTACAGAGAAGAAAAAAAGGATGGTTTTTAGCAGAGTTTTGAAGGAAGACAGAGAAGAGCAAATGCGAAGAGTGGAAGGTAGAGAATTCCAGAGTTTGGGGGCAGCTCTGCCACCCATAGTAGAATGTCTAGTTGAGGGAACTGTGAGGAATCCAGAATTAGAAGATCAGAGAGCACGAGAGGGACAGTATAATGGAATGAGATCAGAAAGGTATGTCGGAGCCAGACCATGTAAAGCCTTGCAGGTAAGAAGAAGGATTTTGTACTTAATCCTAGAACTAATAGGAAGCCAATGCAACTGGCATGAGTGATATGAGCTGTGCGCTTGGTGGAGGTAAGAACCCTGCTGCTGAATTTTGGATGTACTGAAGACAATTGATTAGTTTAACTGGAAGGCCATAGAAAAGTGTGTTACAGTAATCGATGCGAGAGAAGATGAAGACATCGATCAACATTTTAGCGTCAGTGTCACTCAGCATAGGGCGTAAGCGTGCAATGTTACGCAGATGATAAAATGCAGTTTTGGTGACTAGCTTAATGTGAGACTCAAAAGTAAGATAAATCAAGAAGACAGCCAAGGTTCTTAACAAATTGGGCTGGCTTAATATCGACACCATCAATATTGACTGAAAAGTTCAAAACCTGGGAAAGTGAGGTTTTAGCTCCAACTAACAGAACCTCGGTTTTATCAGCGTTTAGTTTCAGGTAACTGTTTTGCAACCAAGTTTTCAAATCTGACACAAGAACTGAAAGCCTGGGCGGAGGCAGAGAGGGAAGTAGTGCTGACATAAATTTGAATGTCATCAGCATAGCAGTGGAAGTTAAAACCATGGGTGCGGATGATCTGACCGAGTGGGGAGATGTAAATGATAAAGAGGAGAGGCCCAAGGACAGATCCTTGGGGTACACCTCAACCTACAGGAGCAATACCAGATTTGTGGGAGCCCATAGAAATGTATTGATGCCTGTCAGCAATGTATGACTGTAACCACTGAAGGGCAAGGCCAGTAATGCCAACAGATGACAGTCCAGATATAGGAAGATTATGGTTAACTGTATCGAAAGCTGGTGTTAAATCAAAAAGAATCAGGATGTTAAGAAATCCAGCACCTGTAGACAGCAGCAAGTCATTTACAACTTTTACAAGGACAGCCTCAGTACTGTGCAGGGTGCGGAAACCAGACTGAAAAGACTCATATAGGTTATTGGAGTTTAGAAAGTCATGCAGCTGAGAGGCTACAACTCTTTCCATAATTTTAACTATAAAAAGGGAGATTGGAGATTGGTCTGTAGTTGGCCAGTGAGGATGGGTCCAACCCAGGTTTCTTTAGGATAGGAGTGACAGCAGCTATTTTGAGAGATGGAGGAACAGTGCCTAATTAAAAGCATAGATTAATCATATGAGCTATGAGAGGTGCTATAACAGAGGAAGCAGACTTAAGAGTAGCCATAGGAGCAGGATCTAGTTGAAATGTACAAGTAGAGGATTTGGAAATAATCTCAGACACGGTGGAAGAGTTCACAGGGGAGAAAACAGAGAGACAGTTATCAGGTGAGAGTGAAACAGAGGCCTGAGAAAGAGAAGTGCTGGTTGCTACAGGGAAATGCAGATAGATCTTATTAATTTTATCCAGAAAAAAATCCAAAAAGCTTGACACTGGGCAGAGGAGTTCAAGGTGGGTGGTGAAGGAGGTTGAAGAAGTTTGTTTATAGTATGAAAGAGAGTTTTAGGCCTGTGACTGCCAGAGTTTATAAGATCAGAATAGAAAGAGGAGCGAGCAGGCTTGATAGACAACCACAGCATGCACTACACCACCGCTAACACCACCAAAGCACGTTAGCCAGACCAACAACCCCAACCCAGCTATTTCAGTACAGGAAAGTGAAAACTGCCCAGTACCTCAGATTAATCGACAGAACTTGGTGAGGGGTAGAAACTCACTCACCGCAGCTGCAGTTGAGGGGTAGGAGGAAGAAGGGAGAGGGCTCGTGCGTGGCTAGCAGGCAGTGTCAGGTATACATGGGGGAAGTTCCGACGTGAAACCAGAGAACGATCAGGATCCAGAGAGCAGAGAAGCCAAAAATGGAAAAAAGCAACAGCGGCAGCAACAAAACACAGCAAAAACAAAAGCCGGAGAGAAGAGGTAGCAACAGACGCGCACTACGTACTCTCAACCGGAAACACAACATCTGGATGAAAAGTAATGTCCAGCATAATACTCTGTGGCAGTACTACACTGAGAATGAAGTGCTCTGTCATTTTTGAAGCAGATCACAGCTCTCAGAGTGCGCATAGCTTTGTGTTCAGAAGACCTGTCACTCCATATTAGTAGACCACTAGAGAGAGCAGGTGAATGCCCTCTTCTAAAACCCACCCCTGTAAAAATGTGGCCAAAGTAAGAAGCAAAAGAATGATTTTGGAAGCTAAAGACCGGTTCCAGAAGCAAAAAATGTATCAACAAAATATAGGTCATTTTTATACCTCACCAGATGTCAAACCAAGACATTCAAAAGGATGAACGATTGAAATGGCAGAGACAGTACATGAAACAAACGAACAAACAAACAGGACACCTGCACAGCATATTCCTACTTGAAAAACAAGTGTAAAGTGCCCCATTTGGAAACTCTTAACATTTAATGCACTTAACTTGGACATTAAGTTACTGATACTTAACATTAAAATACGTACCTGTCTTCATCTTTGGCAGAGTTACTTTCATTTGTAAGTAGAGAAACAGGTCAAACCAGTCAGTCATTAATTCACTCTGTGTCCTTACCTGCACTCCAACCCAGCCCACACATACACATGAACAAAAAAGTTGCCAAGATGTATAAAGCACTTTGAGCTGCCGCTGGTGTGAAATGTGCACTGTTGTTGTTGTTGGATTTACCTATCTTGTGTCAATGTGTTGTGGAGCCAAACATGGTCTCATGGCATGCGCCCGTCCCTCAGACCCCAATGATGACCGCGAGAGCCGGCAGGAAGGCAGGGGCTGAGCTCCGAGGAAGGACGAAGCCCGGTGAGGACGGTGGGTAGAAGAGAACCGCGAGTGAGTGGGGGACGGGCACATGTCATAACTGTACATTAGCTGTAGAAAATATCACTCAGCAAGTAAAAAAGTTGACAATGAGTTATCAGCAGCTGTATGTGGCCTCACAGTTGTGATGGATACAGCCGGAGTAAAGGTGATGTGGAAAGAAAGAAAAGGTGATGTGGAAAGAATGTTCCAGAAAAGACAAACCGTCTTGATTTACTTTGCAATATAATATTAGGGTGCAATATAAAGAAGCCTTCCCAACCTTCCCACCCACGAAATTGCCAGACCAATTACACCAAAACATGACATACTAGTTTCAGAAAAGCTTTATTTTTGTCTAAAGAAGCTAAGGGCTTCAGGAGTTGTCTCAGTCCAAAACAAACTAAACATTTCCTTTTCAATTAACTAATTTCCCTACCCAAAAAAACAAAAGTAAACACAGGTACAAAACATTTAACCTAAATGTCTAACAATAAATAAAGACAAATTCCAAAGAAAAATAGGCTATACCCCCTACAGCCGCTCAGCAATAATGCTAGCATCATACTGCCCAAAACCTATTTGCTGTAAAAATCAGAAAGATACTTTTAAATTTTCTTTGATTCATTTAATGGAAAACTTCCTTCTACATTTTAGGATAACAAGAAGTTCCTGCATAAATGGCTCGAGGTCAGCTGCATCAGGTGACGTTGGGGTCTCAGGGTCTGTTCTAGGCAACAAGACGGCTGGTAGTGATGGTACGAATTACTTACCTTAAAGATTACATTT